ATCAATTTTGGTAATTTGGATAATTTCATAAATTTATATGTCACGTGAATCCGCTGTGACGAGATTAGTAGCCATATAGAAAGACCCCCATCCACAATCCGTTAACGTTGTGGAACAAATTTATTAATAAAATCCGTTATGGCAAACATTTTTAATTAATAAAAAAAGGGGCCAATATTTAAATCCGTTGTAACAAGAAATCCGCTGTGGCGAGGTCCGCTGTGACGAGGTTTGACTGTATGTGATGATAAAGTTATTATTTATGATAGTTATTATTTATGATTTACTTATGATAAGGTTATTATTTATGATTATGATAAAGTTATTATCAAATTAATTAAGAAAATTTTATTCTGATGTCTTTGCAAATTATAGTTGTATTTATAATGAAAAAATTGTCATGTAGACAACAAGTAAACCATACTCTTTCTGAGTATCAAGCGAGTGGTAACAATAATCAATTGTTGATTTTAAAATTTTTAAAACCCATCTTTGTACAAAGTGGGTTTTTGCCAAATTCCTTTATATTGCAAATTAAAGATGTGCAAAAATTTAGAAATTAAAATTGTTATGTAGACAACAAGTAAACCATACTCTTTCCGAGTATCAAGCGATTGGTAACAATAATCAATCGGATAATCGATATGTTGTACATGGCTATGTAATGAAAATTATTTTTAGAATTTCGATGTGTACCACCTGACTATATATAATGTAATATGCATGTTTATTTGTGCGATTAACCAAATTCGATACGATCTGATTGTTAACCAACTCGTGCCACATGCATTTTCTTTGTGAAAAGTTTTTTCGCTGTGCATGTTTACATGGTAAATACCCATGGACTTGCATTACTCCAGTTCCACATTCCCCAAATCTACTCTTCCCATACCTAAATGAGGGGGAAATGAGCGGAGGAAACGTTTTATTATTCTAAATTCGGTCAATTAACTCATGATACATCTGTACATTTGTAATATTCTTTCTGTGCAACCAAATATCATCCCTTAGTCTCACGACGCGTAATATGATAAAGTCGCGTAAAAGGTGGGTTCTTACTTTTGTCTTTAACACTAAAATGTCTATTAATTTACATGATATCATTAAAAAATGGAATACCGAAAAATTAATAGGATTCTTGAGAAATCAAGAATTAAACCTTGATGACGAAGATTTTTCGTGTTTAAGAAGTCAAAAAATTTCGGGGTCAAACTTTCTTCTATTAAAAGAAAAGATTTAATCGACTGTAAATTAAAGGTGGGGCCTACTGTAACACTTTTAAATTTAATCACCGAAATTAATACTGGTATGTACAGTATATGGATTTGGTATATAGTTAGTTTATTGTATAACTTATTTAATTTCTTTCTTTATAGGGAAATTGTCAAGTGAAAAACTTATTCCTGTTCTTAAAGATGTAAAAAATTCGAAGTGGCTATACTCCAGATATTTCTATGCCTTTCCTTTCAACCAATGGTCACTTGAACATTATGAAAATTGGATTCTGAATAATTACACAACTTCAAAAAAAGAGGTTTACAATCAGTGTTTTTTTAAAATAATTCGAAAAATAAAGGAAGATTCTAAAACTTTAGAAGAGATAAGAGAATTCGTATCAAAATTAGACAGAAAGGTAAGATATTGATTTAATTTTTTTTCTATACTACACCTGTTATTATGATGAATTGTCGGTCATCTTGTGCAGTGACCTTTTTGGTGTGAGCAATATTTTATCTAACCTAGTAAATGAGAATCGGTTCTCATTGTGAAGGGATAGCATTAATAATATGAGTTTGGATGAGGCTACTCCTTGCCTATCCCGTGGGGATCAGTTCTCACATTAGTAGGGATAGCACAGGGGAAGGTACGTCCTTGAAAGTTAGCCGAATTAGTACATTTTTTACTGGCTATGTCCAGTAGTATGTGTCTGATCATCCTTACTTTATTGGAAAATTTATTTTGTATATCTTAACAAGCGTTAAAATTAACTGAATATGGTGTACCTAGTTGTTCTTTTTAATTAATCAATTTCTTACTTGATTACTAATTTTTTTTTTTTATTAAAATAGTCAAATTTTGTATGTAACGATTTTATCGATGATGAATATACCGGATATGAAGCAATGCTAGAAGGCAACATTTCAACATTTCTTGATATGATTTTGAATTATTATAAGGCAAAATCTCTTAGAGAGTTTAGGGGATATAATGAAGTAGCGTTCCAGACCGCAGTCGAATTACTACTTCCCACAAACATTGGTGTTCTGAATTACGTCTCGTAATAGATAGTTCAAAAATATCAGGCGAAGGTCGCTTTGGCTTTATCGATATTTTCGTTAATGGAGTAAATGGAAACGGTTTAAATTCAAGCATAATATTGGAACTAAAGTGTATATCGTTGGTAGGTCTTCTGAGTGGAGAAGAAGGAAGATGGATTGATAATCCAGGTTATAAATCGTTAATGGCATTAGATGCAAAACTTGAAAAAGAAACCGAAAATGAACTATTAAAAAGAATTTATTTTTATTGGTGTAAAGAGAAAAAGAAATGTGAACGAGTAAACGTAAAAAAATAATCAGTGATGGAGTGAAACAGCTTAATAGATATATGTTAACAATGCAAAATGGTAAGGTTAATAATCAAAAGGGATCGGGAGTTTGTGATGATAAAATTAAAATAGAGAAAGGCGAGGGATTTTTGGGAGGTTTTCTTTTGGTCTCGATTGGTTCTAAACGAATCTTGACGAAATCATCAGAATTTAAAAAAATAGGCATAAAATTTTCTATATCCTGTTAATTGGAATTTTCATATTTCTTAGCTGTATCAACAAATTAATAAGATGATCTTGGAGGTTGTTTTTTATATAATAAATTATGATGATTGATATTTCATAGTAGCATTAAAGAATCGCCTGAGGGAAAATCTTAGTTAATAAAAAATCGTTCATAATTCTTTATAGAAGTTTCTGTAGTAGAAATCATGACTTTTAAAAATTCTAGTTATTTCAGCCTTGATCGAGGCCAAAATTCTTATGTGCGATCAGCACTGATGTTGATTGATATCACAGTTAACAATCACATTTTTATTGCATATCTACTTTTGCATATAAATCAGACCTGGTTGTAGCATTATTAAATAAAGAATAAAATATACCTCGCACTATTTTTTGCTGGTCTTAGTGATCGATTTCGCATATATAATTGTGTTTATTTTTGTATGTGTATTTTTTGGGATTTTTTTGATGGCATCTTGAACGGAAATTATATCTTGCAAGAAAAAAAATATACAATATTTATTATAAATTATGAATATGAATACATTTAATACCACCGGAAATTCTAGAAAATATCTCCTGGATGACGTCAAAAAAAAGCTTAATTGTTTTTATACAACAACAATACATACAGACGCATTTTCAGATAAGAAATACTTATTATGATAACATTGAAAATTATTTTTATATGCGACTAAATAGTTGTATACTATTATTTTAGAATGTAAATGATAGGTCCATCAAAATCCGGATCTGAATCAGTCAATGCTGATGATACTCTAATTGCAGAAATAAGATCTGTTACAATTAATGTATTAGTTAAAACCATTCTATTAGGTCCACCGGTAAAGATAACGCTTCGAGATACCCTTAATGGATCTGGAACAAGTGGAGGTAGATCAGAATCCGAGAATTCATCATCTGAATAATCGGGATATTCGATTTTAATTTTTGGATTGAATTTTTTTATTACTTCTTCGCTAATCCTTTTACATCCCTCCAAACTAAGATATTTCAAATTAGTACAATTGCGGGCTATTTCCTCGACAGCTTTATTATTAATCGAGCAATCACCAAGCTCAAGATGTCTAAGTTTTGGGCATGAGTGAGTAATTTCAGTGATACATCGATTAGTGAAACATATACATGAATTAAGACTCAGATGCTGTAGTTTTGGAGAAAATCTCGCAATTTCTATAATTGGTATATTACTGAAACCCTTACTTTTATCAAGAATAAGAAAGCATATATTCGGACATGAATGCAGAATTGTACTGATTAAAGCATCCGAGATTTTTAAACCTTCCAATCTGAGATATACCATCTTTGAACAATAGAGTGGCTTTATTTTTCTACGCATAACTCTTTTAAAGTTTATCAATCGCCGAGTAAGAACCCGAGACATATTTAAGGCACGCCGACTCTGCTGATAATCTTCGTTGAAAAACTCAACGCGACGCCATAGAATAGGAGCACCGCAGTGATACCAAAAGTGGTTGACGAATAAAGCGGGATAGAGGGATTGATTGATTTCTAAAAAATATAAGATCTGTTCTAGTAATTCTGGTAAATTAAAAATATTTAGTCGCGCCATTCTCAATTAATATGTATTATATATCTTTAATCGAAAAAAACAACTAATGTTCGGATAATTAATTTTAGGCGGATATATTATGCATTATCCAGATATTCTCAATTGCACTTAACCTCATAACTAGTTCCATCAAACAATGTAAGAGTTTTATTTGGAAAGTCCACTTTCATTGCATTTTCCTGGAACCACGGCTGACTAGTGTTGGTTTCCAAAACTATTTTGAAGAGGCGAAAGTCAAAACTAAAATTAAAAGTTATATGTCAAAACTAAATCAAAAGTCAATAGTCAAAAATCAAAACTAGTTTCGACTTATGGCGAAACCTTTTGACTTTCGCACAGTTGTGAAACTCGCTAATTTTGGAAACCAACACTACGGCTGACCCAATATCAGTAATTTCTACTTGATTTGATTCATTATCTTTGGATTGAAAAGAGGGATTTATTTTATGGAGCGTCCCTAATATTGGTAGCATATCTCCAGCAGAAAAAAAATAACTAATGATTATTTATCTATTTCCATTATATCTACTATCACCCGCAATCTATGATGAGTAATCAAGAAAAAATTTGCCGATATCAGTAAGTCCTGATATAATAGCTTTATAGGTCTTTTTGATTACAAGTTGGATTGCATCACATTTCTGCTAATATCGAATCTATTTCTGCGATTTGGGCATCAAAAGGATTATAATTCTTAGGCTGAGATTTAGGTTCGGGTTCAGTATTAGTATCAGGATTGGTATCGGAATCAGAAGAAGTGTCACCCTCAGCATAATAAGTTCCAGAATCAAAACGGTCGATCTTATGTCTCATTGCAATTCTACAAAGTAAACTAAGATGTTGGGCCGTTGGATTTTGACTACCATGAACTCTAGAAGCATGTTTACTCCCTATTTTTCTCAATCTTTTGGCAGTAATACCATATGGATTTAAAAATTTGCTAAATGCTCTAATATTGCGTTTTCCATTATCACTATATACAGGATAACGTAGCTTTCTGGTTGCTATTGCATCTTGAATCCAAGTAAGCAATTCCTTTGCGCGTTCTGGATTTTTTTCCATGGAAAGAAATGGTCAGGGCTCAGGATTAACCTCCTTTTCTCCCTTATTCTTAATAAATCCTGTACAATACCAAGAATAACCAGGTTTGTACCATTTTGGAGGGTCTGGTTCATCAGGTGAGTTGGAGACTCGAAGCTTGGCTTCTTCACAATGGATAATACGTAGAGTAGTAACTTCAGCGGGTCTCATACTCAACATCATAATCACGTCTGCAAGATCCTGCATAGTTGGAATTTTAGTAGTATCGATACTTTGAATCCTTCTGAGTCCCTCCTCTAAGGAGAAGTGTTTAGGGGTTTTAGGAGCATTGGGTAATCGCTGTACAAGTTGCCTCTTCTGAATTTCATTAGAATCTTGAGTAAGTGCTGAAAATTTAGCATATATATCAATTACTTTAGAATCAACTCCAGCTTCTTTCAATTCCTTACGAAATAATGTAAGACGTGAGTTGGATGCGACAATTTCTTCATCACTATTATTTTTTGTCTTGATTAAATCTAAAGCATGTAACCAAATATCATATGGATCTTCAGTTTTTGCACAATATTGAGCTCTCTCTTTGATAGTAAGTTTTTCATTCCTTTTATCTGGTACAAGAGCCTTGATCTGATATTCTTTGAATAAGCGTCGGCGAAGAGCTTCTTTCACACTTTTGCGGGCTTTCCAATCTGGAAGCATAGCACCAAGTTCACTAGCATAGACACGTAATTGAGATGGGCTAGATTCAGTGGACAAGTTATATTTTTCTAGGAACAGGTCCAAAATCGAGGTAAAGTTATTAGTTCTGGGCTTTCGGATTTTTGAGGCAGTTGCCATGATCATATTGATAGTATATTTGACAAGTAGATCGTGATTATCTATTGACCTACTTATTCTTTCAAATTGAAAATTAATTATCTCGGGTCAGAATATCTAATATTTACCCAAAATTGAATGGGTCGCAGTTATTGTAATTCTGTCAGAAAATGGATGTGAACAAGACACAAATTCGATCAAAAGTCTTGGAATCCATAGCTCTACGTGGTTCTGGAAAAAATAATCAATATACGCATATGCCAGGTATATGATTATACTTCATGTATAGAATTGGGTAAGTCAGATATATGATTCTCAAACATAGCGAGTTTTTCATATAATTCATCCTGTTTTTTTCTGTGATAATTCTCTTTACTTTTATATTTGCCTACATGTTTATCGCATGCATTATATTTAGACCTATTCGACTCACCACAATCTCTACAAGGAGTAGGTATTGGAGAATTACGATGAATATAACATCTTTCTGATTTACTACCTCGACCACAGATTTTTCCAGTTCTGTGAATATATGAGCAATGGTATAATATCATTATATATAATAATTACTTCAATCAAATTTATATTTTTTCTTGACAAAAGTGATAGCAAACCTGAGACCAAAAATTCCACTTCGGAATAATTAATTTTATTTTAAAGATTTATCTATCAATTATTATAGTTTCAAAATAATAATACATATACTTTTTGTCAGATCAAACAACGCATATATACAAATCAATAAAATGAGTTTATCTAGTGAATCAAAAAAACATCTTCGTGAATCATTACAACAACAGCAGTTAAATCAAAAATCGGCTGAATATAAAGTGGTAAAAAAGCTTCTCACAGGTTTAACGAATCTTGATTATAAACCTAACCATGAAAAATATACGTATCATAAATATTGGCTTAAATCCAATGGAAATGATACTGCACTTTTGGAAGTATACAAACCCGAAGAGCTTTATTCCCAATATATAATTCGAGTGGCAGAAAAGGGGTTTACTATAGTTGATCATCCTTCCAAAGTTTATGGGCTACCCGACACCCACGAATGTATTGATGGAAGTCTACCTCTTCACCCAGTTCTGGACATCGATGCAAGGCAGTACCCCGATCCCATGATAGATATAAAATTTCTCGTGAAGATTTATTATCCAGGATCTTAATTGCCTGTGCCGATATTATATATACCGATTTAAAACACCACATAACTTTAAATGATTTTGCCTTAGCTAGTTCATCTAATGCTAATAAATGTAGCTGGCATATTGTATATCCCCATGCCTGTTTTATTGACTATAGAGATCTTAAGGGTTTTGTGGAAAAAGTTGCTAATAGGATTGGAAAGCCATACTCAGAATTTATTGATATAGGACTCTATAAATCCCGCTTCAGTCTTCGTCTTACTGCGGCACGGGCACACGACGCTCGCAGAGCTCGCTTGGGTCGGCAAAGGGTGATAGAATTAAAAGACCTACAATTTCTTCAGTTAAGAAAGGATATCGTAAGCTAGAAGATTATCTAGTTCAACCTAGGTTTGATGTTTCTGAAATCTGGCCCCGAACCTTTTCTTCTGAAGAGCCAGTAAAACAAGAATCCCAGCCCATCATTGATGAAAATGCTTTGAATAAAGGTGCTAATCTAGTTATTGCAAAATATGGGTGGCTTCAGATTGGAAAAATTGGGAATGGTTTTATTAATTTTCAAGCACAATCGGTTAAAGAATGTCCTATATGCGACGTTAAACATAAAAAAGATCAACTCTATGGATTTATTCGAAAAAATGGAGATTTCATACTTAAATGTTATCGCCAAAAACAATATAAGCCAGAACATAAGGGCCTTAGCTTCGATAAGGTATCAGATAAAGTCGAATCAGAAGTGAAACTCAAGAAGTGGGGATTAATTAAAAGATTGCCCAAGGCTGTAAAACATCCATGCCCACTCATAGAATTATCTGGAAATAATATTAATGTTAAGGAAATGGAGAACGCCCCAGAAGCTTATCCAGATTTCATGAGTGAGGAACCTACTACAACCCTAATTCGCTCACCTGTTGCCAGCGGAAAAACAAAAACCTTAAGAGAGATTCTTAATTCTTTAGCTAAAAGTGAAGCAAATTTACCTTGTTTTAACTGGGTTTCATATCGTAAAACTCTTAGTAATGAAACTAAAAGTAAAATCGAAGTATTACAGAAATCCGGGCTTCGTGTGTGCCATTATCAGGAAAATGAAGGTAATTTAGCTATACGTGACTGGGATGTTATTATTGTTCAGGTCGAAAGTACACATCGTATTAATTTCCATGGAGGTCGTTCTCATGTAGTTATTTTAGATGAAACGAATGGTATTATGCGTCAAATGGCAAGTGGAATCCATGCACGAGAATCTGAAAATGCCATGCGGGATTTGTTAAAGTCGGCTGTTCACGTGGTTGCCATGGATGCTTTTGCAAATGAGTCGACTTTAGCCTTCTTAAGACAATACCGAGGTGAAAACATCCAAGTTTTTGATAATAAGTATCAGCCACGTAAAAGTGAGACCGTAAAAATCCTTTATGATTCAAATAAAGGTTCAGAAGCTATACGTAAAGGTCTTGAGATGCTTAAAGAAGGTAAGCGTGTTGTCTTTTCAATGACCTCCTGCAAAAAGGCTCGGGCAATAGCTAATCAAGCATCTAAGTTGCAAAAACCAGACGGTTCATGCGTTTTATCACGAGTTTATTTTAGTCAAATGGATGAAAAACAACGCCAGGATGACTTTGCTGATATTAATGCTACCTGGAGTGGCCTTGATTGTGTAATCTATACAAGTACTGTGGAGTCAGGCATCTCGTTCGAAATTCCTAACTATTTTGATGCAGTTATAGCAATTAGTAATATTAATACAGGAGTACACGTTGAAGCATTTGCTCAGATGCTTTATCGAACTCGCGATTGCCCGTATCGTATTGTTTCTCTTTACAATAGTAAAACACATTCTGAGATTTTTAAAGAACCAAATCGTGACCTTATTCGTGCAGAACTTTCGGCCTTAAGACCTGGAGATTTACCAACTGCAATAAAGGGGCGCCGTGAATGGAACAAAATTGCTGACTGTTATATACTTGATTCATCTCCGGCAGTAGAAACCTATATTGAGGTTGAATATCAGAGACGCTTATCTGCCAAATATTTTCCAGAAATTCTTTGTAGTTTGATTGCTAGTACTGGAGCATCGCTAGAATTAATCACAGTAGAAGATACCAAATTAGCCAAAGCTTCTCGTACAGAAGTATTTCATACTATTAAGAATACTGAAGAAAGGATCAAAAGTTCTGATGCAGAATTAATAGTCAATGCTCCAGATATCAATCCTAATGAAGCTGAAATGCTTAAGCTAAATCCTGAACGTTCTTTTGCTGATAACATGACCCTGCAACGACATTATTTATGGAGAACATATGCTTCAGGCGATATTGGAGGTAAGGATGATATTCGAAACTGGGGTATGAATAATGATGATTGGATCAAACTTTGTGATATAGATTTCGTGAAAAGATATAATAATCCTGAACCTTTACAACATTTTAGGAGGCTGGCATATTATCGAAGACAAGGTTCAGATGAAGTAAAGGCTTTGGAAAATCTGAAAATCAAAGAAGCAATGCAATGGGAAGAATCACAAGATTCTATGAATCCGGCCTCAAACGATTTACATAAATTTTATTCAGTAAAACAATGGGAGGCAGTACGAGATCTTTTCCAATCAATAGGATTTAGCGGTATTGATGATACAAAGATTCTTTCTGGCGATGATGTGGCAAAGGCTTTTGAGCAATCATGTGAAGAAGTTGTCAAAATTCGAGAAGATGCACGATTACTCTTTGGCTTTAAGACCAGAGCTAAAGGAACACCCGATCTCAATGCTACAATAAAGTTTATTAATGCAATAGCTGGAAATTGGTGTGGATATACTGTCAAAAGTGATGAAACTCGTGTAGGTTCCAAGGGGCATCAAGTACGGAAGCGCACTTATTGGATTGATCATAAAGCATATGATGGATGTGGTTTTGAAACTCTAGAAGAAATAAGGGCTATAAAGGTTAATAATTCTAAATATCTCCCTATAGCTCCAATTATTCCACCATACAAACCAGAACCGATTGATGAAACTCAAAAACTTTTTGATTCAATACCAACTACTGATATTACCACTTCAGAGGAAGCAAAGCTTCGATGTTCTACATCATCCATTAATGAGGTTTGTAAAGAAAGTTCTTGCCATAATGTAATTGAGGAATCCATGACAAATTTACTTCAATCGCCTTCTACGATATCAACTCAAGATCAATTAAATGATTTCGAGCAATTCTCAAGTATTACTGAAACTAAGAAAGAGATACTTGAACCCTTAATCACGAAGCGTCTGCCTCCAGAAATTTCTTTATCTTCAGAATATCTCATCAAAAACGAATCTGATATAGATATCCTTATCCTTCTTTTACAACAAAAATATCAAATGTCTCAAGAAAAATTAGACCTAGTTGTTCTTTTTAATTAATCAATTTCTTACTTGATTACTAATTTTTTTTTTTTATTAAAATAGTCAAATTTTGTATGTAACGATTTTATCGATGATGAATATACCGGATATGAAGCAATGCTAGAAGGCAACATTTCAACATTTCTTGATATGATTTTGAATTATTATAAGGCAAAATCTCTTAGAGAGTTTAGGGGATATAATGAAGTAGCGTTCCAGACCGCAGTCGAATTACTACTTCCCACAAACATTGGTGTTCTGAATTACGTCTCGTAATAGATAGTTCAAAAATATCAGGCGAAGGTCGCTTTGGCTTTATCGATATTTTCGTTAATGGAGTAAATGGAAACGGTTTAAATTCAAGCATAATATTGGAACTAAAGTGTATATCGTTGGTAGGTCTTCTGAGTGGAGAAGAAGGAAGATGGATTGATAATCCAGGTTATAAATCGTTAATGGCATTAGATGCAAAACTTGAAAAAGAAACCGAAAATGAACTATTAAAAAGAATTTATTTTTATTGGTGTAAAGAGAAAAAGAAATGTGAACGAGTAAACGTAAAAAAATAATCAGTGATGGAGTGAAACAGCTTAATAGATATATGTTAACAATGCAAAATGGTAAGGTTAATAATCAAAAGGGATCGGGAGTTTGTGATGATAAAATTAAAATAGAGAAAGGCGAGGGATTTTTGGGAGGTTTTCTTTTGGTCTCGATTGGTTCTAAACGAATCTTGACGAAATCATCAGAATTTAAAAAAATAGGCATAAAATTTTCTATATCCTGTTAATTGGAATTTTCATATTTCTTAGCTGTATCAACAAATTAATAAGATGATCTTGGAGGTTGTTTTTTATATAATAAATTATGATGATTGATATTTCATAGTAGCATTAAAGAATCGCCTGAGGGAAAATCTTAGTTAATAAAAAATCGTTCATAATTCTTTATAGAAGTTTCTGTAGTAGAAATCATGACTTTTAAAAATTCTAGTTATTTCAGCCTTGATCGAGGCCAAAATTCTTATGTGCGATCAGCACTGATGTTGATTGATATCACAGTTAACAATCACATTTTTATTGCATATCTACTTTTGCATATAAATCAGACCTGGTTGTAGCATTATTAAATAAAGAATAAAATATACCTCGCACTATTTTTTGCTGGTCTTAGTGATCGATTTCGCATATATAATTGTGTTTATTTTTGTATGTGTATTTTTTGGGATTTTTTTGATGGCATCTTGAACGGAAATTATATCTTGCAAGAAAAAAAATATACAATATTTATTATAAATTATGAATATGAATACATTTAATACCACCGGAAATTCTAGAAAATATCTCCTGGATGACGTCAAAAAAAAGCTTAATTGTTTTTATACAACAACAATACATACAGACGCATTTTCAGATAAGAAATACTTATTATGATAACATTGAAAATTATTTTTATATGCGACTAAATAGTTGTATACTATTATTTTAGAATGTAAATGATAGGTCCATCAAAATCCGGATCTGAATCAGTCAATGCTGATGATACTCTAATTTCAGAAATAAGATCTGTTACAATTATTGTATTAGTTAAAACCATTCTATTAGGTCCACCGGTAAAGATAACGCTTCGAGATACCCTTAATGGATCTGGAACAAGTGGAGGTAGATCAAAATCTGAGAATTCGTCATCAGAATAATCTGGATGTTTGATTTTAATTTTAGAATTAAGTTTTTCATCACTTCTTCGCTAATCTCATTACATCCTTCCAAACTAAGATATTTCAAATTAGTACAGTTGCGGGCTATTTCCTTGACAGCTTTATTATTAATCGAGCAATCACCAAGCTCAAGATGACTAAGTTTTGGGCACAAGCGAGTAATTTCAGTGATACATTGATCAGTAAAACATTTACATGAATTAAGACTTAGGTGTATTAATTTCGGAGAAAATCTCGCAATTTCTATAATTGGTATATTAGTGAAACCCTTACTTTTATCAAGAATGAGAAAGCATATATTCGGGCATGAATGTAAAATTGCACTGATCAATGTATCTGAGATTTTTAAACCTTCTAACCTGAGATATACCATCTTTGAACAATAGAGTGGCTTTATTTTTCTATGCATAACTCTTTCAAAGTTTATCAATCGCCGAGTAAGAACCCGAGACATATTTAAGGCACGCCGACTCTGCTTATAATCCTTGTTAAAAAACTCAATGCGTCGCCATAGAATAGGAGCACCGCAGTGATACCAAAAGTGGTTGACGAATAAAGTAGGATAGAGTGCTTTATTCTCGGCTAAGAAACTGAATATGTTTTCAAGTAACTCTGGTAAATTAAAAATATTTAGACCCTTTTGGTCATTGCTTCGCAATAGTTGCGCCATTCTCAAGAATATATATTCTATATCTTTAATCGGAAAAAACAGCTAATGTTTGGATAATTAATTTTAGGCATATATACTATGGATTTTCTGGATATTCTCAATTACACTTAACCTCATAACTAGTTCCATCGAGCAATGTAAGAGTTTTATTTGGGAATTCCACTTTCATTGCATTATCTTTAAACCATGAGTTCCCTAACATCCCCAGATATTTCTCGAAGAAATCATACACCATGCAAGGCTAAGAGAAAAAAGAGATTTTTAACTGATACCGCATCTGAGTCCTCATCCTCGTCTTCATCTGAATCTGGGTCTGAATTGTCTATTGATGAGATGTGTATACGTGCTGTTAAAGCAAAGAAGAGTAATTAGTTATCATCATAGAGATGAAACCTCACAAGGTTTTGATATTTGCACAATTAATTTTATTATTATTATATAGAATTCTCAAGTTTTCACAAATACGATATGGATCAAATTTTTGATTTTAAAGCAATGAAAGATGCCGGAATTAATTTTTCAGTGAAGTACCTTGATGAGGCAAAGCCTCGAATCTCTGATTCCTCAGATGATGATATACCTAGAAATTATGAAAAAACAAGCGAATTTCGTTGTATAAAAAAATTAGTAAAAAAACTTAATAAAAGTAAATGTCGGGAATGTGATAAATTATTCCATGACCCTAATTTAGGAAGTTATTGTGAAAAACATATACTAAATAAACTAGGTTGTTGTAAAATCATTGTTGTATTGATGAAGGAGCTGGACATTGTATATTACATTGTATAAAAAAAATTGAAGCTTATGATTTATTCGATAGTGACTCTCAAAGTGGGGATGCTATCAAATCTGATAATTAATAACTAGACATGTGGTGAAGCAAAGAAGCATGATTAGTAATTGTATAAGTCTATAATATCCTCGACTTCATCATTCTCTTGCTTAGGTACTGGAGTATTTGGCCTGTCATTCATTACACCATAATGTTCAACTGATGAAGCATGACCTATTTTATGCCTACATGCCAATTGTCGTAAATGTTGATGGCCAGTATCATTCTTACCTCCATGTACTCTGGAAGCATGATCAGCTCCTATTTTTCTTAATATAAATGAGGTAATTTTATGCTGACTTAAGAATTGATTAAGTGGTACAACATTAGTATTTCCATCCTTATCCTTTAGCAAGAAGGGAAATTTGTCCGGTATTGATCTCTGAATCCAGATAAGTAATTCTCTTGCTCGTATTGGATTTTTTTCCATTGAGAGAAATGGTCAGGGTTCTTCTACTTCACCTTTATTTTTTGCATAACCAATACAGTACCAAGAATAGTCAGGATTATACCATGACTCACGACTTGGTTTGTATCGATTGATACGAAGATTTTTCACATCTGCTGATCGCATACATAGCATTATCATTATGTCTATTAGATTTTGCATTGAAGGAGGCTTGGTAATATTACATTCGTTAAGTCTTTCCTGAACCTTTTCCAGGTAAAAGAACTCGGGACAATCGTAACCATTAATTCCGCGAAGTATATGTTTTCTTGCTTGAATCTGGTTTTCTTCTTCAGTAATAAAGGGTACTTTTGTTGCCTCAGTAATGAGATAATCAGCTCCTAAGCTATGCAATTTTTTCCATAATAAATTAAGACGAGAATTTCCAGCAACAGTAGTAGGAGCAGAAGAAGCCAAGTCATATGCTATTTCATTTATTTCTTCAGGTGAGAGATTATTTTTTATAATATCTTGGGCAATAATTTTAATGGGATCTCTTTCATCAACATGTCTCCCAGGAGCTCGAATAGGAATAAGAGTATCAGCTTGCTCCTTACTCAATCCCAACTCTTGGAAGCGTCTTTTAGCCTGATCTCTGGCTTTTCGGGCCTGCTCTTTTGTCTTACCATCTGAAAGTTTATTAGCCAACTCTTCGGTATAACTACTAAGCTGGGGTAAACTAGTTTGAGGAGTCAATTTGTAGTGATTTACAAATGATGTAGCGATTTTTGCCATGGTTAGTATATGTCAGTTGATATGATTGAGATGTTTTATATAGACTAATTTCATCTGATATATATGGAGATTCTTTTTTCAAATCGAAATTAATTATCCCAGGTTGATATATATACCCAAAATTGAATGGGTCGTGATTAATGTAATTCTATCGAGAAATGGATGTGAACAAGTCACAAATTAGATCAAAAGTCTTGGAATCCATAGCTTTATAAAGAGGTCTTGGAAAAAATAATTAATATATGCCAAGTGCATGATTATACTTCATGTCTAGAATCGGGTAAGTCAGGTATATGATTCTCAATCATAGCAATTTGTATACACAATACATCCTGCTTTTTTCTGTGATAAATCTCTTTACTTTTATATTTGCCTACATGTTTATTGCATGCATTATATTTAGACCTATTTGACTCGCCACAATCTCTACAAGGAGTATATACTGGAGATTTACGATGGATATAACATTTTTCTGATTTACTATTTCAACCACAGATCTCTCCAGTTCTACGAATATGTGAGCAATTGTATAATATCATCATGAGTATATATAATAAACTTCAATCAAATTTTTGGAATAATTAATTTTATTTTAAAGATTTATCTATCAATTATATAGTTTCAAAATAATACTACATATACTTTTTGTCAGATCAAACAACACGCATATAGAAACAACGCATATATACAAATCAATACATGGGTTTGTCTAGTGAAGCAAAAAAACATCTTCGTGAATCGTTACAACAACAGTGCTTAAATCAAAAGTTAGCCAAATATAATGAAGCAAAAAGGTTCTTCATAGGTTTAACAGATCTTGATTATAAACCTGTTCATAGAGAACATATATTTTATAAATACTGGCTTGCATCCAGGCCTGAAGGGGCGACCCTAAAGGGTCATGGCCATACTAATAAAAATGATACTGCACTTTTAGATGCATATCAACCTGAAGAAATTCATTCTCAATATATAATTCGGACAGCAGGAAAAGGTTATACAGTGATCGATCATCCTAGTGAAGTTTATAGAATACCTGATACCCATGAATGTATCGATGGGAACCAACCCCTCTGCTTAATTATCGATATTGATGCAAGGCAAAAACCAGATCCTTCCGATCCTAAACTTCCTTCTCTAGATAGTGAAAAAATTAATCATGGAGATTTGATATCTCGAATTTTAGTCGCTTGTGCAGATGCATTAAGCCTTATTCCAGAATGTATGCCTTTCTTAAATTCTTTTGCCTTAGCGAGTTCATCAAATGCTGAGAAATGCAGTTGGCATATTATTTATCCTCAGACCCAATTTGTGGATTATAGAGAACTTAAGGGTTTCACAGAAAAAGTTATGGAATTAGTTGGGGAACCTTATTTGAAATTTATTGATATTGGCCTTCCCAAAACACATTTCAATCTTCGACTCCTTGGATCAGCAAAAGAGGGACGCATAAAAAGACCTGCTATCTCTTCCGTAAAAAATGGATTTCAAAAGCTAGAGGATTATCTGGTTCAGCCTAAAGAGAATTATTCTGAAATCCTTCCACGAACCTTTTCAGAAGAAAAGCCAGCAGAAGAGGAATTTAAACCTATTGATGACGATGATGCTTTGGTTAAAGGAGCTAATCTAGTTATTGCAAAATATGGGTGGCTCCAGATTGGAAGAATTGAGAAGGGATTCATCAACTTTCAAGCACAATCCGTTAAAGAATGCCCTATATGTGACGTCAAACATGATAAGGATCAACTCTATGGATTTATTTGAAAAAATGGACATTTTATACTCAAGTGCTATCACCAAAAACAATATAAACCAGATCACAAGGGCCTTAGTTTTGATAAGGTATCAGACAAAACCGAATCAGAAGTGAAGCCTAAATTGGGATTAAATGAAAGAATAGCCAAAGCTGTATTAAATCCACGTTCACTTCCTGAATTACATGGAGAAGTTATTAATGTTGAAAAATTAAAAGATACTCCTGAGTCATATCCCGATTTCTTAAGTACTGAAAAAACAGCAACTCTTATTCGTTCATCCCCAGCAACATGGAAAACTACCACCCTAAGAGAAATTATTATGACTTCAAAATCTAAGGTAAATAATACTTCTTTATTACCATGTTATATCTGGATCTCTTATCAAAAATCTCTTAGTAATGAATCAAAAACAAAACTTGATGAGTTAAGAGCATCGGGATTCCGAATTTGCAATTATCAGAATGTGCAAGGAGACTTATCTATAAACGAATGGGACATTATTATAGTACAAGTTGAGAGTCTTTTCCGCATTAAATTTACAATCCGACCATTTGTAGCTATTCTGGATGAGATCAATGTGATTATGCGACAAATGAATAGTGGCGCAAATGCACAAGAATCTGAGAACGCAATGCGTGATGTATTAAGATCGGCTCAGCATATTTTAGTGATGGATGCATTTGCAAATGAAAGTACACTAACCTTCCTTAAGGCTTATTGTGGTGAAAATGTCCGAGTGATAGATAATAAGTATCAGCCTCGTATAGGTGAAATAGTTGAAATTCTCTATGATCCAAATAGTGGGGCCGAAGCTATGCAAATAGGATATGAATTTTTGAAGCAGGGAAAACGTGTGGCTTTTGTATCAACTGGGGCAGTAATGGCTAGAGCATTAGTAGAAAGAGCATCTAAATTAACAAAACCAGATAACTCACCTATCAAAGCCTGTGCTTATTATGGAGATATGGATGGAAAACAACATCAAAAGGATTTTTCTGATATCAATACTGCTTGGGGTGAACTTGACTGTATAGCTTATACAAATACAGTGGAAGCAGGTATATCTTTTGATGTTACAGGTCATTTTGATATAGTTATAGCTATCACGAATATCGCAACTCCAGTTCATGTTGAAGCACTTGCCCAAATGCTTTATCGAATCCGTGATTGTCCTCATCGTATTGTTTCAGTGTTCTATAAGAAAAATTCTAATGAACTTTTCTTCCCCCAGGTCGTGAAAATATTCGTGCAGAACTTGCGAGTGCTCGGCCTAATGATTTGCCAACAGCAATAAAGGGACACCATGAGTGGGATAGCAATGCCATTTCTTATAAAATTGACGAATCTCCAGCCATACTAACATTTATCAAAGTTGAGCATCAGAAACGCCTTTCTGCAAGATATTTTATTGAGAAGCTTTGCAGTCTTATTGCCAGTACTGGAGCAAGTCTTAAATTAATAAAAATGGACGAAAATAAAGAAATTATAGGGAATCGTAAAAAAGTTCGTAATGAGATTAAGGCTGAAGCTTTAGTTATCAAGGATACAGATTTTGATGCAGTCACCACTTCTCGAAATCTTACTCCTGAGGAAGCTGAATTTCTTAAACTCGATTCAGAACGTTCAGTTGCAGATACCATGGCACTTAAGCGTTTTTATATGTGGAATCTTTATGGTGGAAATAGTATGAGCATCGAGGATTGGAATAAACTCTGTGATAAAGATTTTGTAGAACGTTTTAGTCCACCCGAACCTAGAAAACATTTCTTGCGTCTATCTCATTTTTACAAGCAAGGTTATGATGAAGAGAGTGCAATAGAATAGTGTTCCTAGGTTCAGTTCAGTTCGGTTCAAGTTCAATTGAACCCTGAACTTGAACCGAACTTGAACCACTCATATTGCTGTTTTTTGAACCTGAACCGAACCTGAACATATAATATCTGAACTTGAACTGAACCTGAACTTATCCATGGGTTCAGTTCAGGTTCGGTTCAGAGTTCATGAACAAGTTCAAGGTTCAATCACGTGACTGGTTGAGATTTTATGTGAAGGTATAAATTTTTTTGTATATCTCTTATAATGAAAATTGCAATTCCCCTGGATTATTGTTATATTACATTGCATGATCTTGTTCAGAAAGAAATAATAATAATAACTAGTGATTTTGATTTTTTTTAGCAACTTCATCACACTGTGTATTGATACACCAATATTCTAAAAAATAAAATTTTTTTTTTACAACAAAATAAATTATAAGTCATTCATGGAATGAAATACTATTAGAGCTGAATTTTGTGGATAAAATCTGCATTTGACAATCTTTGAAAACACAAAAAGTTCAGTGACTAAGTGACTTGCACTATATATATATTTCTATATTCCAATATAATAAAAACAGGCCTGAAAGAGATTTCCTTTTTGGAACAACAGTTGGTTAGTGAGTTTAAAAGACTTTAACAAATAAGAAAAAAATCATAATCATGTAGTTTGCTGTTTTTTTCTGCCGTTTTTTTTTGTCAATCAATATTTATCACATCCAAAATTTGTCACCGAAAATATAATTTATTATTCTCTAATTAACATAACATCAATGCTAATAAAAAAATTATTTTTGGCCTGCCCGTATTTTTATTATTATTTATTATTTAATAGTATTATTAATGGAAGAAAAATTTTTTATTTTTGATAATATTTTTGGTGACCTGCCGTTTTTATTTAATAAGAAAAAATATATTTTTGGTGACCTGCCGTTTTTTATTTAATAACAGATAAGAAAAATATATTTTTGGTGACCTGCCATTTTTTATTTAATAAGAAAAATATATTTTTGGTGACCTGCCGTTTTTTAGTTAATAAGAAAAAATATATTTTTGGTGACCTGCCGTTTTTTAGTTAATAAGAAAAAATATATTTTTGGTGACCTGCCGTTTTTTATTTAATAAGAAAAATATATTTTTGATGACCTGCCATTTTTTATTTAATAAGAAAAATATATTTTTGGTGACCTGCCATTTTTTATTTAAGAAAAAATATATTTTTGGTGACCTGCCGTTTTTTATTTAATAAGAAAAATATATTTTTGATGACCTGCCGTTTTTTATTTAATAAGAAAAATATATTTTTGGTGACCTGCCGTTTTTTATTTTAATTTAATAAGAAAAAATATATTTTTGGTGACCTGCCGTTTTTTATTAATATTAATATATAATTAATTCTAAAGAAAAATCGTTTTTTAATGTAAGTTTTTTTTATCATCATAAGTTTTATTTATCATATAAGTTTATTTATCATAAATTTTTTAAAATTTTTAGGTAAGTGATATATTATAAGCATAGTGGACATTTGATTTCATTGGCTAAATTATGTGACGATCTCCCTTCCAGATATCACGCAAAAAATTAAATT